GGGAGCGTGAACTCTGGACTAAACTTTAACACCCCTTGCAACGCGTGAGGAGTTTAACAAAAACTTCGTCTTACAACTTCAAACTAGACTGACTATTGTAGCATATTTTAAGTAGATAGGTATACTGTTTTACTGATAAATAGTAGCAAAGTTAGATTTTATTTTATATTAGCGGACCGCCCCTGCTTCGCACAGGTAGGTATCCGACTACCTCGTCAGTCATTTGTTTTTTTAAATACTTTTAAACATAATTTTAAAGATTCAAATACCTGATTATAGGTATGCTTTGATATAGAAAAAAGGATACAAATTTTTTGATCTTAAATTTATACACACTCTATAACATATAAGCTCTAAACTCCACAGAGTTCCCTGTGCAATGTGGTAGTAGTAGTTTCTTAAGAATCGTTACAAAAAGTCCTACTATATAATAAACATAAAAGTTTGTGAGAATGTATTGATGTCTGTTTGTTTTTCCTTCGCTCAAAAATGGACGGACCGATTTGATTGAAATTTGGAATGTAGATTGGTGATACCCTGGATCAACATATAGGCTTAATATCCACTACGCGGGCGAAGCTGCAGACGGAGGCTAGTATATAATAAAACAACAAATATTCGAAAACATTACTTCGAAATGCTTGGTTTTTGTTATAATATTTACAAATGAAAATACTTATCATATTGTCCATGATTTGAACGGAATAATAATGTGAAGGGCTCCCTACTAACCTACATATTATCCCTAACCTACCACAAGATTACCTTAGTTACCCCGCAATCCAATTGAATGTGAAGGGTGAACAGTCTTGAATATTTGATTTATCTTCGTAACATCTACGAAGTTTCGGGAGAGGTCTATGACTGATGGAAACAAGTACAACTTAGCAGGTTATATTTTATAACTTTTTGACATTAAAAGAGAAAGATTTTCCCAACAAGACATAATAAAGTCTGTAAAGAATACAAAATCAAAACTAATATTATAAATGCGAAAGTAACTCTGTCTGTCTTTTCTTCACGCCTAAACTACTGAATCAATTTCTGTGAAATTTGGTATAGACATAGTTTGGAACTTGAGAAAGGACATAAGCGCTAAGCTAATCCACGCGAACGGAGTCGTGGGCAAAAGCTAGATTAATAAATGTATATTTAGACGGACTTATGCCATTAAGCCTACCCTCCTAATCACCTTAAGATTGAGAAGGAAATGAGCTTCATTAGGCTTTTGATATGGAATAGGAGGCAAACTGAGCAGACGGACCACTTGATGGTAAGTAATCTGCGCCACCCATGGACATCTGCAACATCTGAGGAGTCACATGAGCGTTGTTGCCGGCCTTTTAATAAGGAGTGCGCACGTTTCTTGAAGGTTTAAAAGTCGTATCGGTTCGGTAATACCGCCGCCGAAAGATCATACCAAACTTTTGCTGTACGGGGCAGAAAGTTTCGCGTAAATCGAAGAGTTTTTGACTGCCAACCATCTTGTAACATAATGCTATGTGTATATAACAAATACTTGAATAGTATTTATGTAACAAAATAGAAAATAATTGAAGAAGATTATTGAAAACAAATCTTTTAAAACGACATTTTTTTATGAAACTTTTAAGTAGGTTTTAACAAGAAGGAAAATTGTTCAAGATATTAACTATTTGTGGCTTACAAATTGAAAAGCAGCAAAATACTTGTAACGAAGAAGAAGTAGAATGGATGAGAATATATAGAGAAGGATGTTAGAAATTTAAGGATTTGGGTATGTGGCAGGGTTTATGTTTGGGGCCTCTGGTAACCTCACTCAATCAGCGAATCAAGCTGTGATTGTTTGATGCTGATTTTCTATAAGGATAAGAGAGGATGTGGCACTCCTGTCGAGCCGACCCATTCATGTAGAAGTTAAGGCTAATTAAATGCTTTTAGTTCGCTTTAAAACAACGACAGTTTCTTCTTGTTTTTGCATGTGGGCGTGTTATTAAATCTGTCTAAGATAATAATCACTAGTTTAATAGAAACAGAACATACTAATAGTAGAGGGTATTTCAAAATGTATCCTTATTGTTGGAACATAATTTTGAAGATACAAATACCTACCTTCATTTTTGATTTAGGCCTGTTTTGTATTAAGTATACAATGGATATTTATATATTTTATACAGATTTTTGTTTGACATCTGTTGTTAATTTTGGCCGTTTCTAAATGTAGGAAATGCTTATCTGAGATCTATAAAGTTTTGTTTGTCAGCTTTTTTGTAACCTCGAGTGTGCGGCGTCAAAGTGCCAGAGAGCCAGTAGACCACCACAAGTACTAAATACGACACTAACAGTGCCGATGTTAAGTCAAGGTTGCGGGACAAGTGCGTTAAGGTACCGCGTCCTCGGCCTGGAGTAGGAGAAGGAACGGGGTGCTTTTAGTCGGTAAGAGTTGAGAGAGAGTAGGATGCTAATGGAGTTTCTTGCTCGTTCTTCTCTATTCGAATCTAGAATTTGGAACGAGCACTTAGCTTTCTTGAAAAACAGACTGACAGGCTATTAGGTATTCTATTATGACGTTTTAAAATGAATGATTTAGACTTTGACTGAGAGTCTGACACTAAGAAGTTATTTGATGATTACCCTTCTTCAAAAAAAGGCTTTCTTCTAACTGAATAACAATAATCCAAATGTTGCTATGCACACCTACTCATTAGGATTTTTCCACTGTTCGCCGTAACCATATTAATCTCTTCTTTGAATTAGTCATGGAAAATTTTATTTCTAATGTCTTTGTCTGAGGCTTGGAGGATGGTGACTGTTAGGTGATCTTATACTCAATACAGGTTTCGACCTATTTACGAACAAAGAGGTAAATAGCATCTATTTATCACGTCTTTCAAAGTGCAAATCCGTAAAATTAGAATAAAAAGTTGAAATAATATAGGCTACATAATAATATTTTTTTGCACAATTATTATGTCAAAAATGAAGGTTAATATCGACAAATTTTCGCGTTCCGAGCACAAAATTAGTAAAAATACTTAGAATAAAAATCGTTAGCGTTGTTAACGTTACCTATCAGCGGCAAAAAAATACTTATTGTTTATTATATAGTTTGCATAATATTTTGAAAAAAAAAGAAGATCGTCAGCTGATTTTTAAGTGTTAAATATTTTTGCAAAGATTTTTACCGTTACACGCTCACACAAACACGTACGCAAGTGAGTAGGTGGAGGGTGCGTGAGAAGGTGTCACTATTTACAAAATAGGTTCAAGGACAATCTTAATGTCACTGTCAAGGACAAACTATTTACCCCGCGTACCTAACTTTCTTAGAAAGTATTTTGTGTAGGCTGATTTGTTTATACTAATATTATATAGAGGTATTTAGGTATAAGTTTGTATGTTTGTTAGTTTGTAATCTTTGGAACCGCTGGTCGGATTGCCAAAATTCTGAGATTTCACTGATAGATAGCTACAATGTTCCTGAGTGCTATAGGCTATAAAACATCACGCTTTCTACGATCAAATAGAGCCGAGCAACCAGTGAAACCTGAGAGTAGCTAGTCTCTAATAAATCTATGCTTGGTGTTAAGATATAAGAAGCATGTACCAAATCTATAGAAACTTATTATATTTAATAACAAATTAATTTTGTATTATTTATCTGAAATCATAAAATGCGAATTCACACGGGCGGCGGCATCGTTCGCAAGGTAAATGTGGGTAGCGCCATCTATTATCGAGTTAGAAAACTATAAACCAAGCTTGTTACAGGTTGTGTTTATTGCCTATTTTATGAGATTACACGCTAAATTTCTGCAAAAAATATGTTTATTTAATTTTATAGATCTATAACTACCTCCTCATTAAAAATCACGTAAACGTGGTGCTCTGTTTGGATGTAAATGCATATTCACATTCACAGATAGACATAAATTATGGTATAAATAAATAATAATATTTATATTTTAACACTACAATTACAAATTGTTTTTGTGTTACAATTGTTGAGACTGTGGTGTCAATTAAGTACAGGTAAAATCTGTGCTATAGGTACCGATCACCAGGACTGGGTGTAACACGAAGACATCGTAAGTACAATGCGTCATTAGGTACCTACATCTCTACATACTTAGTAATGAAACAAAGTCGCTTTCTCTGTCCCTATATGCCTCTATTTTATGGGTACATTTGTAATGGGTAAAAACCCTATTACATACTAAGTCTCCGCTATCCGTCTGTCCATAGATAGAATGGTACGGATCGAACTAATAGGTAAGTAAGTATTACATATATTTCATAAAACCTATGTTTTATTATATTTTATACGTCGAACGCAACCATTACCTACACAAAAATAATCCTTATAACATGATTCAGTGTTCACATGCGACGGCGTCATGGCTTATTATCCGAACTGCTAAGCTATCAGGAGTGACACGTGCTATTGTGAGTTAATAAAGATCGACATAATAATATGCTGTAATGCAATATTTTTTTGATAATTTTATGTAGAATATTACCGTCATAGGTACATAATTTCTACGTAACTTTAACAAGGGAGTAACTTCTCTCGTTTTCCCAACATTTTCCTTCACTGCTCTGCTCTTATTTATTGTAGCGTGATAATAAGTATAGGTACTATAACCTGCCTAAGAGTATAAAGAATAATTGCACAAAAAGAGCAGACGTATTACCCCTGTTGGTAAGCAAACAACGCCGCCCATGGAAAATCGTGATACCAAAGGAGTTACTACAATTGTCCGTTGCCGCATTTTGTGGGTTAAAAGGGATTTAAGGATTCAGGATTTGAGGATTGAGTAAATTGTGGGGGCTCCGGTAACCTTACTTACACGGCGAAACACAACAGAAGTCATGTTTCAGAGCGGTTTTCGATGAGGCCGTGGTATTACTCCGGTCGAACCGAGGCATGGATCTCTCACAGTATACTTACATTTAATTATTTTTGTAGGCAAACCGTATTTGTTTGTTAAACTACATATTAAGTATTCATAGACACTTACTTTGGTCATCATCAACTTGGCACCCAAACTTCAACAGTTTACATTCATTATCGAACAATTGGTATTCTGTTAATCCGTTTTCAACATACTTGACGCCGCAAACTTTAGCGTCTTCATTCTCATCGCAGTCCAAATTATCACAAAATTTCTTCTTCTCATCATTCGCTACTTTTCCATGAACAATGTATAAAGAAATTAACACAGAATAGAGTATTTTCATAGCACTGCTAACCAGTTTGCTTATCGAGGTTATACTAAATGTAAGTATTTAATGAAAGTGCCTATTTAATTAATGTGTAATTGTAAACCTACAGTACGATAAAATATTTCATTAACCAATATAATGATAAACTATTTTTTTTAGTTCGGCAAACGAGCAGTCTCAGAGACAGAGCAATCAGCACCGCCCATGGACACCCGCAACATCAAAGGAGTTGTTGTCGAGTGCGTTGCCGTATCCCTAAAAAGGGATAAAGGCTGAGAATATTTAAGGATTGGGAAGGGATAAGGGATGGGGAAGGATAGAGCCTCCGGTAACGTCACTCACACGGCAAAACACAACGCTGTGGTTGTTTCACGTCAGTCTTCTGTGAGGCCGTGGTGTCACTCCTTCGCGCCGAAGCTTGGCTCTCCCATACTTAGACAGGAATGCCTACTTAGTGCGTGTTTCCTTTATCTAGGTTCTTTAAAGTGATCGACATAAAGTATCATAACGTTGTTGGCTTGCAATGAAATAATGAAACAATTAATTTATTTTCGAAATAGGCAATGAAACTGCACTTTTATGTGTCAAAATTGTATATGAAAACTAGATGAAGCCGGCATTTCCTAACTGATTACTGTGAGAAGAAATGCTGAAACAAACTCAGAGGTTGAGGGAGACTTTGAAGTCCCTTTTAAAGTCCAGACAATGAAAAAAATATTATGATGTGTGGGCTGTGGGAACTGTGCAATTTAATTCTGTAGTGGTCTTCTGAGAAAAAAAGCACTAGTTTAAGTTACCCATAACCCATCTCAATCAACCCAGCTTCGGTAGGTTCCTGTTTCGAATCCAGCGGGAGGAAACGCCCGAGTGTTGTCATTGTAAGGACCACCTAGAGGATAAGGTGGACCAGATACGGTGGCGGTATGCACTGCCTGGGCTGAGCACCGCCGTGTCCTCAGGGAAGTGATTGGCGGCCCGGCCTTAGTCGAGGCCATGGTGCGGAGCGAGAGGAACTGGGAAGCCTTCTCCTTCTTCTGTGAAGCAGTTATTTATGTTCGCAAAGAGGGAGGCGGTCCGCGTGAATGAGCAATCCTCCTCCTCACGCCCCAGCCGCCGCAGCAGGCAACACTACGGATGTTGGGGGCCAAGGGACCATCTCCAGCCACCGTAAAAGCGGGTCTGCGGACGGCGAGTAAGGGCAACTCGCCGCCCGACCAGAACCAGACCCGAGCGTACGGCGCGTGGCGTTCCGCGCGTAGCCAGAAGAATTGCGGGGTAGGCGCAATAAGGCACCGCGGCCTCAACCTAGAGCAGGAGAAGGAACGGGAGGTTTTTAGCAAGTAACAATCTGACACTTATTCTCGCTTCACCCTGGGGGGAGAAATAATTTGGTGGTTAACCTAACCTAATAAAAAAAAGGGTAAGGCGAGAGGGAGAGTCAGACTCTTACTGACTAAAAAACCCCCGTTCCTTCTTTTGCTCTAGGCCGAAGTCGCGGCACCTTATTGCTCTTGTCACACAACCCTGGCTAATAAGCCTTGAATATGTATCATAATCTGAAAGAAGGTAATGAGCGAACACAACCCAATCGTAGTTTCACCGCGCCTAATATTCCGAGGGCCGGGCACGCTACTATAGCAGCGGTAAGACCCCTCTTTGAGGAGTGGCTTGAGAGACGCAATGGCGTCCTCACCTTCCGCTTGACGCAGGTGCTTACCGGGCACGGCAGCTTCGGCGACACTACGGGCGTCGGGGATCAATGGACGATCTCCGGCCACCGTAAGCACCGGTCTGCGGTCGGCGAGTAAGGGCAGCTCGCCGCCCGACCAGAACCAGGCCCGAGCGTACGGCGCGTGGCGTTCTGCGCGCGCCTCAAAGAGCCAATAGACCACCACAGACGGGGCCGTTTAGGTAGGGCTGATGTTCAGCCGGGGTGGCGGGGTAAGCGCAATGAGGCACCGCGACCTCGGCCCAGAGCAGGAGAAGGAACAGGGGGTTTTTTACTCAGTAAGAGTCTGACACTCCCTCCCGCCCGGCCCTGGGCGGGAGAAGTCATTTGATGATTTTCCCCTTACAAAAAAAAACCGCGCCTAATATACCGCCACACTTATTTAGATACATCGATTTTTATTCCTGACAGAAACTCCATACATCCGCAAGTCCTCAATGTATGTATCTATTATTGATCGTAATCCACGTATTGTCGATCGAGATCATTTATCTATTTTAAGGTACCTATGTACTTATATCTTAATTCGTTCGTAAGTTCGATTGTTGGTATCTAGTGGTTGAAAATGGAAACGAAAAGATGAAGAATTGAGCTGAGCGAGTTCAATAACGTAAAGCTTATGCCTAATAGTTGACGATATCTTTCTAGTAATTTAATTAGTGACGCTTTAATTAATTAAATTTTCGGTCAGCCAGAGACATCTTGTGTTTAAATCTGCAGTCCGACAAAGTTGGATTTCTAGAGTTAATTAATAGATGTCACTAAATACAACTAAACATTTTAAACACTGAAATTTTATTAGAATTACTAACTTGTCAAATTTTATGGAATTATTATATTGGTGCCTGAAACTTTAAAAATGTAAAGGCACACTAAAAATATATATTTAAAAATATTTGTAAAAAATGATTATGTGCACACACAGCTCCTACGAGGCGTTGAGGAAAATCAAAAGCTTACTATGACAACATCACTCATTACAGAATGACATTTGGCTAGCTTAAAAGACTTGTATCCAGGCCATATACTCCAATAAAAAATAAAAAAAAATGACATTTGGCAAAAGTCACTGTCAACCGACTAGAGCTGTCAAATTAGACAAGTGTCAAAAATATCATTACACTTTTTGTAAGCACAAAACAGCCGGAGTTGGATTTATTGCACAATATTACTTTATAAGTCATTCTTCGTTGCGACCACGTTGAGGGTCGGCATGTAAACAAGGAACAGTATTTGCCTCGTATTATTAGTGACAAAAAATAACCTATAATGGCGTCTAAATCAGAAAACGTTCGTGCAAGGATCGTAAAGGCATACGAATTAGATGAAATTGAAAAGTTAATCAAAGATGCGAAAGTCGCACATGTTATGCTTACTGAGGCACCTCCACTGGGTAAGTCAATTTGTAATAAATAGTTATACATTGCATGCATCAATAGATGCATAACAAAAGTACATTTATGTCAAGGTTCTGTAAAAGTGATACGATTCTAATGCTAGGTCATTTCATAACGTATCATGTAAAGTTGTAACCTCTTACAATATGTTTCACAACTGATAAAAAGTTGTAACCTCTTACAATATGTTTCACAACTGAAACATATTGTAAGAGGTTACAACTTTTTAGTATGTTGATACTGAAAATATCAAATTAAAAAAAAAAACAAGTTTAATACTTTGTGGTCAAAATAAATTTATTTACTTACTATACACAAGATTCTTAGGTTTTATATTGCTTATAGGTAAAGTTGTAATGATTTCGCAATTATCAGTATTATATTTTCTTAGTAAATGATATGGGGTTTTCCTAAGTTGATTGTGATTGTTTTCCTGTAAATTAGATAGTACCTATTGCTTTAAATAAAACAGAAAAAGTTGCCTTTTTTATAAATTTCCTTTTAACTATTCTATGTCACTCTTTATACACAGAAATCATAATATATAATCAATTTATTACAACATGACTGAAAGATAAACAAGCAGACATTGACATTAATTAACTAGTATCTTCCTGCTTTTTTGTCTGCAAACCTTGATAAATTATACACCAAAATAATCCTCTTGAATTATTCTATTTAAAAATATGTCTATATCTGTCTACAGTTTTATATATATAATTATTCAAAGGGACAGACAGTGGGAAGCCACTTAATTTTACGATATCTAGTGATATAATAAATGCAAGTTAAAATTGATGTTTTGTTTTCCTTACACATAATAAATGTGTAAAAAATGTTATAGTAATATATATTTGATTCATGCACTTACTTCAATTGCATGTAATTATTTATCTCTGTGTAATCATAATGTGTTATGTCTGTGTTATCAGACCAATAAGCAGCGTAATATTCTATGTTAATTACTGGTCTTTTTACAGATAAATCATTCCTATTTATTTATTGTTAAAATTAAACCTTCACATAAATTTAAAAATTATTTAACACTAATATTACCTATAATAATGTAACATTCCATTTCAAAAATAGTTCTAAAAATTGATGTCTCATATCAAACAATTATTAAAATTTGAAAAAAAAAATTAACAAATACTACTTATAATTATGTAATATTATATTTCAGTGGATGAGGCAAGTGTATTGACCCGCCTTAGTGCCCTCACTCTTCGAAGTTCAGATGGTATTAGTTGTTCCTGTTGTGGTGTTGGTCCGTTCACTACCAGAGCGCAGCAGACAGCTCATTATAAACACCACTGGCATACACACAATCTAAAAAGGAAGCTGTTTGGCCGGAAACCTATTAGTCTTGGAGAATATACTGCTCGGCAAGGTAAAATGATTTTTAAACATTATTTAGTTCTCTTACCCCCTTACTAATAAAAAATTACACACATCTTATAACAGAGGTATAGCAGACTCATTACTAATAATCAATTTTTGACATTTCCCGCGTATACAGCTGTTATAACCATTGTCAAAATTGTATGAAATGTTAGACAAGACTTATTCAGCCCGTGGACCTAGTATAACGTGTGAATAAGCGATCATTTTCGTATTTTAACTGTCAGACTCATAAAATTGATTTTACATTATTTTGCTAAAATGTGTTTAGTGATTGTGAAATCCGAAAAATCAACAAAAAAGAAAGAAAATTAATTTCGCAATGATCCTAACGATGATATTTTCATTAGAAGGTGCAGAGTTTATAAAGAAAATATAAATTTTCAAAGAAACACAATATGGAAATTGTTGATCTGCTATCTCATGATATAGGTACAGCATAGGACTAAGGGTCCCCCAGCAGAAATCCATGCCTGCATAGCTTTAGAGCCCTGCCTTTACACGACAAAAGATCAAGCCGATGCAGCTCATATTCATGGAATAAGTCAGTAATCTATTACAAATGTGTGTCGCAGAGTATCTATCGTATTGGCAAGTCGTGTCGCATATCGCAGAATTTGTTACTTTAGAAATGTGATTGCTTGAATAAGGCATATTTAATAAAATCAAACATCCAGTGTGTATTTTTATATTTGTTGGTACAACCAGGTTGTTATTCCTAAAAAGGCAAGACAACAATCGCATTACTATTTCCAAATAAACATAATCTTTTCTATTTTTACTAGAACATATTTATATTCATTCAATTGTAAGTTTGTAATCGCCAACCCGCATTGAGCAAGCGTAGTGATTAATGCTCAAACCTTCTTAGTATTAAAAGAGGCCTTTTCTCAGCAGTGAGCACTTATAGGCTGATGATGATGATGATATTTATATTCACAACATCAAGCATAGGATAAAAATTAATACGTGGCATAGAAGTGTGACGAAATATCTGTAATAGATACAGATACGTATTACGAATACAATATTTGTAATACTTATTTATTTGTTCGTTCATTGATATATTAGGATAAACTAATTTAATTTCACATGTCTACTGGTGAGAACCAGCTGATTGGCAGTTGACTAACCAGAAGATGGGGTATGATGGCGATATAAACCGAAATTTTGAAGGAGATTGTGAAGTTTTAAAATTGTTTGACGTGGAGATAATGTATCTTAATACTTATAACATTATTTCACATCAATTATAGGTAAAGGAATATAAGATCAGCTGCCCTAATATTAGCTTGATATTCAGTAATAGGTATAACACCTATTATTAAAAGCTGTTACGAATATTTTCAGTACCTAATTGGGTTATCGAAGTATAATTCTAATGCCACGACTCTAATTTGTGTCAAATATGTATTTGACATTGATTAGGTACATTCGAAATATCAACATTTTTATCAAAAATGTTTCGCAAAGAATTGATAAATTAATATTTTAAAACTAAATTAAAAACCTAAAACCTTCTTTTTGTTTTACAAAATCAAGTATTTTATTGATTATTATAATTAAATAATTATAATAATACAAGAATATTGTCAAGAAGTGTTTCTGTTCGGAAGTTTCGGAACGCTTTCATCAATGTTGCTAGCAATCAGCAGTATAAGGAATAAATAGTTATTCAAGGTATACGCATTGTTTATTGGTAATGACTTGTATAAAGTATTACTAACTCCCTATTCAATGAATAGCTATCAAAGTGTTAAACAAGTGCGTAACCGAACTTTATTAGTAAGACCGTTAGTGTATAAGTAAGAAATATAAATCAAATAATTCAAATTCAAATTTATTTGCTAACTGAGTGTAAAACAGTTGTAATTACAATGTAATTTGGTTTCAGTAGAGGTAAATGTTACAGTAACACCAATTAAAATGAGCATATTTTTCAGGACTCATTTCAAAATGTGTCATACCAAATGTGAATAGAATATTGTTAAGGATTTACAATGTTGCTTATTTATCATTAGAATATTTTTTTATTTTATCTTATGTAAAATTGTTTTTTTTTTTTTTTTTTTTTTTTTCTAGCCTATATTGTCCCACTGCTGGGCCAAGGCCTCCCCATCTCGCTTCCACACCTCCCGATCCTTCGACCGTGTCCACCAGTCTCGACGATAGGCGTCTAGATCGTCACGCCATCTTTTCCGGGGCCTACCTCGCCTGCGGCTTCCATCCTGAGGTGTCCACTGGGTGACAATAGTGGCCCATCTCTCTGGATGCATTCGGCTGACGTGTCCGGCCCAGTCCCATTTTAATTTTGCCGCCTTTTGGCCCACATCAGCGACTCCTGTTTTGGAACGTATCACGGTATTCCGAATGCGATCGGCCCGTTTTATGTAAAATTGTTAAAGTACTTTAAATTTTCACTATTTGTATTTATGTAATAGAAATAGTAAGATATTTTCAAATTATTTTTTCTATTTAAATGTTGCAATATGTATTATTTGCAATGTAATTTATTATCACAAGCAAATATGACTTACTTTAGCCTGTAAAAAAATTTCTTATTAAAAGCAAATATAACTTGGTTTAGCTAACAAAAACATATTGGCACTATAATTTAAAACTCTTTTTTAAAGAATATACATGTAAAAAAGTGTAAACATTGTATCTTCATAACATCACTGGTACAAAGAAGTGAATGCTGAAGATGACCAAATAAATAAAAATAAATAATTATTTCTTTAATTCATTTCAGATGAAAGTTCCAATGTATCAGCCAGTGACTCTGAAGCTGATGACAATCCTGATGCAGCAGCTACTGAACTATTTGCAGCTGCTACCCGCCACTGCAAGGCATTCTACTCCAACCCCAAGGGACAGGTGTTCTGTATTTACCGCTGTTTGCTGCACCATAGGAAGGTAATATCCATGAAGTAAGACATTCAAGTAAATTGCTGATACTTAAACATCAGAGGAATCTGGCTATATTTTAGAATAAAATAAAAATATTTTTCGAGACAATTTCTTGTGTGCGCGGTTGGCACAATGTCTGAGCAACTGGCTGATGAACTGCGTTTTAGCGGGTAGGGGTATGTGGTTTTTAAAAAGAAAAGAAAACTTATTGACATAAAAGTGATAATAATCGAAGTTTATTGAAAATAACAACATATAAGTGCATGTGAGTCATCTGAAAACGCGCGTAGTCGCAACAATTATCTGTTAACATGTTTAAGTCGTTATTTTACGTTATTATAGAATAATAGTATGTCAGCCTGTTCGTCAGTGAAGCTAGGTACAAAATAATATTATAAAGATTAGTTTTACACTATACCTATGAATATCTCTTTTCGTATTGTACATATAACTGGATAAAAACAGCGTAAAGGACAGATAACTTATGCATTTGTAGAAGGATTGAATTTGTTCTTTGTCTCCTCGCTCATATAAATCGATCCGCACAGAGCAGATGCAAGTGTGAGTATAACTTATTTAATTAGTCTTAATTTATGTTACAGGAAGAAATGTCACATGACGGCGAGGGTCATTTTTGGGCTCGTCGTCTAAAAGACCTCCTTAGTCCAGGTTTTGGACGTTGGGCTGTACTCATGGTATCTGGTGGTCACTTTGCTGGTTGCATTTTCACTGGAGGCAGTGACGCAATCCACAAAACGCTCCACTCGTACACCACACGACGAGGTCAAGGAATGGCTCAGTCAACCAGGGATCAAACTGGCAACGCACCAAAGTCAGCAGGCGCTAGCTTGAGGAGGTACAACCAGGAACAGTTTCTTGCGGTAAGTGGAAATGTATTATTTTAATGTTTATTACGTAATTTGATAACATCGGTGGTTTCAATTGTAAAATTCATTGTCTTAATGGTAAGTCCAATGAAAACTTGAAAAACTCCAATAGGTACATTGTCTAGAATCACAGTAAACCCCAAATTTCTTTATTGGGATGGGTTTGCCTCAGGGTTCAATCTTAGGTCCACTGTGATTTGTAACATCGATTGTTTGACTAAGTTTGTCATGTTTGTGTTTTCATAACATTTTTTGTGTATGTTTTATCAGACTAATCAATTTTTACAGGGTTTTATATTATTGGGATAGTTACCTATGTTGTGATTTTTTTTAATTATGGAAGTTGATATAATTGGGCGTATGGTAAGCAGTTTTTAATTAAGAGGCAATTATGTATACCCGTTTATAATACGTGGTATCATAATAGTTTAATCATTCATTAATTTAACGTATGATACTTTAAGGTTTGGAGACTAAAATGCGAAAGCTTATCGCTACAACCTTTTTATATAATCACCTGACTATAACGTAACCTTTTATTTCGCATACATATGTCCAGACTAATTTAGATTGCTCTAACTTGTACAGTATACGTAAAGGTTTGGCTTGCTTGTGGGTAATGTATACTAACCTTAAACTACATATTAATATTTTATTATACTGTTTAATCCTAAGCTACAAATCATTAAGCTAATAGTTAGCTAATAACGAAATCTTAACCAGAAAGAGCTTGTGTACCCACACAGAATAATTTCATCATTCATTCGTATTTTCAATTGCTTATACAATCACTGGAGCAGGCCAACAAACTGCCTCGGACGGCTGGTCCGCTTTTGAGGCGCTTCAAGTACAACAAAGAGGAATTCTTGATGGTAAGTGGTGTTACCATAGCAACGAGCGTAAACGAATGCAGTACAACGAAAACTGAACAACAACGAACGATGCGTTACTTTACGCTCGAAGAATGCTACCGTCCTCATGAGCTTCGAGAGTGCACCGTGCATACAAATCATCTGAGCAATTGGCTGATCGGGAAGAAAATTGTGTTTCAAACAAAATTCGTGACAAAATTTTGTAAAGAAAATTTACAGAGACCGTACGCACGGTGTATACAGTGTTGCCATAGTGAAATTTATTTTCCTACTCTATACCATTCGCAAATATATATTCTTTATTAAAATTTCGGTGTCATTAGTGCTTTGAAATAAATATGTATAAGTATTATATCGTATTTCGACTTATAAGAAGATTGACTGTTAACTTTTTTAGCTAGTTCTACCTAAACTTACATAAACCGTATACATAGAATGAATGTTGCCATATTGTAAGAGTTAATTCTGACTGCATTCAGAACTATTTAAAATGTATAAGAGCATATTCCAAACTGTAAAACACATACATACTTTATACGGTTTTAAATTTTTGGTTTACGGCAGCTCAAAAGAGCAGACTGATCACCTGATGTTACTTGAGACTCGCAACACCAAATTTTCGCCTTTCGCCTTCGTTACTTTCGTACTATAGCAAGTCTAACTTGCCGAAATAAACTAAGTATTTATTCTTGTATCTATTAAAAGCAACCATATGCTTACGCGATTCCTGCTAAAATATTATTATTTTAGATGGGGAGCCTCCGTTTTAGACAAAATTAGAAAGAAACAACAACCGTTTCTTAATTGTTAGTAGTTTTTATTAATGCCACAATACTTATAAAAGGTACCTATGCGAATATATTTGATTTTTGGGAACGAAAATTGGCAACTCCATCGTTTTGGAATTATCTGGAAGAAAGCGATTTTGGCTCCCAATCCAAAAATATTGATGTCTTATCTATTGTTTAAATGTATATGTATATACTATATATATGCTGCATGCATTAAAAAAACTGTATGTATAAAATGTACTTGCACGTTAAAATATTGCACGTTTGTGTGGTGCACGATCGTCGCAAGTTTGTGTATGAAAATAAAAAAGATTAAACGCTATACCTTAATGATGTTGTTTTATTTCAGTAGTTCTCAATTGATGTTCGTATTATATATTATTGGTAAATGTTAAATTTGGAACGATAGGACATATTTAATATGGCGTGTTGGATGAAGAAATAAAAGTAATAGCATTTTTCTAATAGTAAAAATAATACTTTGGAGGAAAGCATACTCAGATGTTCGACTCAATCGACGGCACGCCATTATTAACTATGTCCATACATAATACATGCAGGAACTATTGTTATTATCTAAATTCTTCTTTTAGCACGTTCAAAATATTCTGGTGAGCTGGAATGATGACCTTAAAGGCTGTTCGCTGGTGTTTTACCGAGCTGTGGGGACGATTAATCAAGCTGCCCTCTTCGGAAAACCATCGCCTTTGAGGAAAGAAGATCCGAGAGTTAGACAACTGCCCTTCCCGACGCGGAGACCCTCTTTCAAAGAGGTGAAAAGGGTGTTCCAGACTTTGGCCAGTATTGAAGTTTATGGTGAGTGAGGTCATTTCAAATGAACCCACATCAAGGACTCCTTGGTTTTCCTTACTGTTTTTTCTAGTATCGTATTTATTATTTGCCTATTGCCTATAACCAATACTTTTAACTACTTTGTATACATAAGCTGAGAGTCTACCTTATTATAATAAATAAATAAATAAGTACCCTTTTTACAGTCTATAATATAGACCCAGTCACTTAACAACTAGAATTAATTGTTTATGAAAATTGCTGCTTATTTAAATTCATACAAGGATATTTTTAATACGAAATTAATGACTGAATATCTAGAATAAAATCAATATTTAAATCCACAGAATCATTGCAAGACTTCCAGAAAGGGCTGTTAGCTCTCAATGGCGGTAAAATTCCATCAAAAACCAACTCTGACATTCATGTCAAAAAAGCACAAAAAACTCCGTCAAAAACATTTGACAGAGCCAAATCTAGGTAAGGTTATAATAATAATAATTTTAGCATTTTTCCTTTCTGCTTCTGTGTGTATTTGGTTGTTGGTAAACCGACCTCAATCTATATTAATATTATAAAGCTGCAGTTTGTTTCTTTGAGCTAATCTCCGAAACTACTGGTTCGAATTGAACAGTACTTTTTATGTTTGTTAGTCCAACATTAACATTAGTTGACAAATTGTTGTTATCACGATTAGCACAGGTTGGCATCCATCTTGTGACTTTGTGAAATAAAATTGATATTTATAGTGCCTAAACGTTAACTCGCTAAACTCTTATTGCTAAGCTCTGAGGCATACTGCCTTTTGTAATCAGGACTGTAGAACCTAAGGTCGCCGAGTATAAAAAGACTAATATGACTAGTGTGACAATGTAAAATTTACTGGGAAAAATCCATCTCTTTTACTAACTTATTCTCCATTACAGAGAACGTGCTCCTCGCGAGCTCCCCACCCAAGTGACTTCAAGCGAAGACGAAGGTCCTTGCTACATTGACTCCGAAACACCAGCCAATTGGATTAAAACTCTATCAGAACAAAGTAGTAACGGCATCATTACCAACTCACGGAAAGATCTTCTTAACGACTGTGTGATCACCAGCTGTGTAGAGTCAGAGAGTGAGAAAGAGATAGTAGAGAAAAAAGAAGAGCCGAGAAGAAAGAAAAAAGGGAACAAGAAACCTGATGAAAAGACTGCGCCTGTGAAAAAGGGACCTCCTAAGATTCCTGCTAATGTTAAGAATGTAAGTCTTGGTTTTCACATGACATCATTGACATTGACATGACATGACAATATTATAACGAACGCCATTTTTGTCAACTTTTACAAAATCGTTTTCTTTTTATGGGCACTTTTTTCCTCAAACCTTATTCTATTTTCAAACTTTTACAGATGTGGAGATCAATTTTAGACAAAGACAACACTAGCCTAGAAACAATTATTGAAGCGTTCGAGGGTGACATTCAAGCTGCTTGCAACACTCAGGATCCTATTGATGGCAACACTGCATTGCACAAAGCCGCCATTGCTGCTAAACCAGAGATGGTCACGTAAGTTAAGTTTTAGATTAAATTGGGAGGGATGGAGGACTATTAATATAATATTTTTTGTTTTTGGGCAACGAACATCCTCTTTCCTTCTACTCCACGTTTAGGCTTTGGTACCTTATTGCGGTAGTATGAATCTGTAGAGCAACAAGAATGGAGATAAAGATGATTATGATAAAAAAAGTTTGATGTGGTCCGGTTAGAGAAAAAGATCTACATTCTAAGTTTCGATATTGTGATGAGAAAGCTAAAATTTATAGGTATTTATACATCTTATAAATATACATCCGATAATTACTTTTTCCAGTCAGATCCTGACAGCAGGCGGGGACCCTTGCATCAAGAACCATGACCTTCAGACTCCGTACGCGGCCACTCCACACGCTGACACTCGGATCGCGTTCCGAATGTTCCAAGCACAACATCCCGATAAATACAACTATTCCAAGGTAGAGCTTTATCGGCACCATATCAACCACAAGGCCTGAACGTAGGCCATCCCTACTGGCTTGCTTTTGTTCACTTAGATAAGAAACACAACACCGTGGCGTGGCGTGTCAGTTCGCGCAGGACCGCTTCATAGCATTTTCATATATTTGATAGCAAACAACACAGCACGTTACAGTAAAGAGTTAAAGGATCAAAATTTCAGTGACGGAGTGCCAATGTTTAGCGCGAATTTGCCGGAGTATTTACTACGGCCTCACAGACTACCGGCGTGAATTAACACTTCGTTCTCATTGTGTTTCGCCGTTCGAGTGAGGTTGCCGGAGGCACAATCCTCTTAAATCCCTATTAGCCTTCAAAAAGCTGGCAAAGCACTTGTAGTAACTCCTTTCGTATTACGAGTGCCCATGGGCGACTCCCTTGCTTACCAATGGTAAACAGTGAGGTTGTTTGCTGACCAATAACATAAAAAATATAATTATGGCTTCGGTCATAATTCTTACTTATAAAACGAAATACATCAAGTCATGTCCTTCTATTTTTATTGAAAAACTATATGTTTAAGAATCATATTCGACCTATATATTTTGGGTACTTCTCAAAATAAATAAAGCCTTGAATTATTTCTTTTGCAGTCCCAAATTCCTGGTCCGGTTACTCCAGAGCAGTTAGAACAAGAGAAAGAGAGGAAAGCACAACAAAAGAAAGCGAAACGTCAGCGCGAGAAAGAGAGGCAAGCTGATAAGATGAAGGGGAACGCGTTCTTACTGCTGACTGACGACCAAAAGGTAAATATTATCATCATATTTGCCAGGACACTTGTACTGTTAGACATAGGCTTCCCTGAATGACTGAGGAGAAATTAGTATAAATACACATAAAATATAAAAAAACATGTGGAAGAAACATGCTTTAATACAAATGCGCCAGCTCGATCAGAGTGATATCACGACTTCACAGAACACCAGCGTGAAACAATACTTACGTTGTGTTTCGCCGTGTGAACGAGTTTTTCGAGTTTTCTGTTTCAGTTTCAGTTTTTTTTCTGTTTCAGTTTTTTTTTCGAGTTTTCTGTGAGGCCGTGGTATCACTCCGGTCGAGCCGACCCATTCGTGCCGAAGCATGGCTCTCCCACACTTACGTTATTAAGATAAAAGTTACCTGGGGAGTTATTATGATGTTGTCGCGTTAGAATGTTTGTATTAGATAGTGACAGCAACAATTTTATTCCTCAGATAACATTTATTCTGACTATAAAATCAACCCTCAGTCGTTATTTTTAATAAATAAACCCCTCTTTTCTAGAGGAGGTCGATAGTCTAGATTTCAATTAGGTTAATAGTTCTCTTTTTATTCCTCAGAGGAAAGTTCCAGTAGAAGAACAAAGGTGTTTCCTTTGCGGTACTCAGCTGCCCAAAGTACCATTCGAGTACGACGGGTGCAAATTCTGCCAGATGCCTTGCCTACACAGCCATCGGAAGATCAGGCCGCTAAACAAAAGTGTTGAATAATACTATTTTTATAATATATTATATGCATATTGATTAGATGACAAATAAATGCGGGTGGAATATTTTGAATCTGAATTATTAAAAGTTAACCACGGTCATGGTTTACCTACGTGAGTATTGGTTACAAGTGTCCGTCTCCAGGTGGGACATATCCAGATTTAGCCAATAAATTATTTTCAGGTAAGACTTATCTAGACTTTTACAAATGAATTCTTAAATCTTCGTTTCAAAAATATACGTTTGCCATAATAAAAAGCCCTATCTATCATAATTCATTTTATTTTATTGTAAATATTGGTAACATTTTATTAAGCTTTTTGTAGCTACGTCATGTATGTCCCGTGCAGCATGCTTTCTTTTATTCTCCCCTGTCCAATGCCAGTCTGTAGGTCCTGTTTTTATTAAATCAATATTGCAGTGCCATAAAGCGCAGTGCTGCCATCTGTGAACAAAATATCAGTACCTAACAAAATTTTCTTGTTTTCTATTTTTACATTTTAGTTCCTGAAGGCTAATTAGTCCCCCAGGGATTAAAATGCCGTCACTCCATGGTCATGTTATGTTATTATGGAACTTGTGAATCCCGGGCTTAGGTACTAAGTCTAAATAAAAGCTTATTTAAATAGATAGTAAAATCATCTGCGATTTTTGTCGTCTAATGATTATGCAAATAGTGTCAATATTGTATAATCTGTATTTAATTTATTGTACATCTTTTTCTTATAAGTGGACAAAATATAATTTTGTTTTACAATAATTTCTTCTTCGCCTTTTTACTCTTTTCCTTTTTATTTCAAGAAAATTTAAGTAATGTTTTATGTATATTTTTTTACTGTGTTATTTTTTGAAGGCAATCCAAACTAATATTATAAATGCAAAAGTAACTATGTCTGGCTGTCTGTCTTTTCTTCACGCCTAAAGTACTGAACCGATTTCTGTGAAATTTGGTACAGACATAGATTGGAACTCGAGAAAGGTTACCGAAGGTCCAATCTCTCCACTCACCCAATGCAAACCTTTTGGGGATTAAGCGATTTGGGAGGGCCCAAATCGCTTAATCCCCAAAAGGTTTGCAACGCACACGTAACTCTTCCGTTGTTTCGGGTGTCCATGGGCGGAGCTGATTGCTTGCCATCAGATAACATGTCTGCTCGACTGCGGACCTATGAAAACTTGGATATTAAGGACCTATTTTATTAATGTTTGGATAACCACTATTTGACTATAGAACGTTTTTGTATGAACTATCTGCTTGATAAATACATAGCTTTGTCGGAAACTTACGGAATATAAAGGTGATGCAACAGGCGATAGAAGAAAAAGAAAGGTTGACTGAGAGTGCTTAAAGATTCGTGGTTGTGTCCTTATGCACGAGGTTCGCAAACCTGGTAAGTATGCATATGGCTTTTTCTGGGTTATACCTATGTATATTGTTTCTAAGATTATTTATATATCACTATCATAATTATAGTGAAGTAAACCATCGTAAGGCTACTTAACTATCTAATCCAAACTAATATTATAAATGCGAAAGGAACTCTATCTGTCTGTCTTTTCTTCACGCCTAAACTACTGAACCGATTTCTGTGAAATTTGGTACAGACATAGTTTCGAACTCGAGAAAAGACGTAGGATATATTTTTATACCAAAAATCTTCAGGAGGTCACTATTCCACGCGACGGAGTCGAGGGTAATAGCTAGTAGGCAATTTCTAATTAAAAGTTTGACATAAATACTTGAACAAGCGCAGTTATTAGTACCTATATTATAAAATTTGAAATGGATACTCTATCTGTGGACCATAGACCGGACTTGTTTCTGTTTTAAGACCTAGTATTTTAAGATTTTGTTTTGTTTTTCTTGTATATATTTTCCTGATTACCTTCGCTTCCTATAATTATGTTTTGTTGTAGTTCTTAAGTTCATGTATGTTCTGCGCAGCAATAAATAGTTTTTCTTTCTTTCTTTCTATTTATGCTCATTCTCCAGAATAGCCCTTTACTCAGCAATGGGTATTATTAAACTGCTGACGATGAAGTAAGATGCGTCATAAATTAAAATGTCGTCTCTCGGTCGTAGTGTTTAGACTGAAACAATTACTTTTTTACAAAATACGTTTCTCATGTCATTTAAAATCAAGTTACTTTTTCCATTAACCTAAAAGGTATTGTCTACTATGTGGTAAACAGTTAGTTTTTATTTAAATCACCTTCTAGTATTAGATTAAAATCATCGTAATATCTACCTAAATAATGGATTACGATGTGTCTATATGGAAGTATTTTTTAATCTTCCTAGTGATTAATAAATTTGTCAAGTTTTATTGCCTTTCTATTTTATTTCTTCAGTTGGTACTCTTGCGCTGTGCTTGTAGCGTGGTATTTTATATTTGTACATGACGCACACTTTTGTTCTGTGCGGGAATCGAACTAATGCACGTTGTAGTCCAGCCACTGCGTGCAGCCCATCTGACTGAGTGATTAATCAACTTATCATGTTTTATTACCTAACTATTTATTACTTAATCTAATTTCATAATCTTTCCTGATTAATAAACTATCTGATGTACCTACCGACAAATTATTCTTCAAGCCGCTCCAGTAATTCCAGAGATTAGCGCTTTCAAACAAATAAACTCTGTAGTTCAATCTATATCTATACTAATATTATAAATCTATATCTATACTTAATATTATGAATGCGAAAGTAACTCTGTCTGCCTGTCTGTCTTTCTTCTCTTTCACGCTTAAACTACTGAACCGATTTATGAAATTTGGTAGGTACAGATATAGTTTGGAACTCGAGAAAGAACATTTAACACAACACGGTAGTTTTTATACCAAAAATCTGCAGGAACTCACTATTCTACGCGAACGGAGTCGCGGACAAAAGCTAGTAGGTAATAAAGTAAAAGTAAATAAAAAGTATTTGCCCACTTTTTGTAGTGGTTATAAGGTCATATGGCGATACCTTTTTTTGAGAGGGAAAATTTATAAATTAAAAACGTCTCCTGCCCTGGGTGTGCCGAGATCGAGTGTTATTGACTCAAAACCACCTGTTGTCTTTTTATAATTGAAATTGTAAAGACTTTTCGTAAACTAGAAAAATTTATAATAGGTAATTGATACAAATAATAGAAAAAATTGACTGCACGGTTGGCGCGGTGGCTGATCAATTATCTGCCGCGCAACGTGCCGCGGGTCCGATTCCCGCAAGGTACAACTCTTTGTGTGATTTTCACAAAATGTTGTTCCGGATCTGGGTGTGGCGTGTATGCGAAATTGTGTTTGTAAACGCACCCATGACACAGGAGAAAATCCTAGAGCGGGGCCGCGATTTTTTTAAAAAGCTTTTCTTTTCAACCTATAACTTCATAAGATTTTTTTTCTGATATAATAATAATCTCCATCAATAATTAAATGATCGAAGGCTAACAGCTAGCGAAGCTATACAGCTCATAATTATTAAGCTGTATAGCTAGACCGATTTTCTTGTTTCAAAAGTACATGTGCAATATTTATTGCCAGTCACTGTATGTGCTTGTTTACTGCATCCAATTCGGAATAGAAGTTTAACAACAGATTTGCTACTAGCAATTTGCATTTGGTAGATTGCTACGGGCTACGGTGATTACATAGCGAATCAAGGCACGCATAATATATGTATACAGCAGACCTTAAGCGATTCTGGCTTTTAGAGGACGAAGGAGACGGCGCGAGCTTGGTATACCGAGCTTAGTAAGTGTGGGAGAGCCAAGCTTCGGCACGTATGGGTCGGCTCGACCGGAGTGATACCACGGCCTCACAGAAAACTACTACAGCGTTCGCCTAGTGAGCGAGGTTACCGGAGGCCCAATCCGTTCCTTTCCCAATTGTTAAAATCCGAAACCTTTATCCCTAAATGGCCGGCTACGCACTCATAACTCCTTTGATATAGCGTTTGTCCATTGGCGGTGTTAATTGCTTACCATCACAGTCTTACGTAATCCCTCTGCACGTTGGCCGACCTATACCTAACCCACATATTTGTTTACTAGGCAGGTCAGTGATTACTTCACAACAAAGGCCATCGGTTACCTCAATCTCAATCACACAGCATTTGCATTGGGCCGCTATCACGCCTGGTGTTAAGCAATGATACAACCTACCCATAAGCAGCTTCCTCACTCAGGCCTTGAAGATACCTACACTTCTGAGGACAAATAATTCTATTCCATAGCGGAAATATTTATTTATTTAAAGCTCATATACTCCTAATAAATGATACAATGGTGGACTTCGTGCATTTCCATAACATTTACAGCAATTCCCTTCCAGTCAACCTCAAGGGTGTCAAGTGCAGAGAAGTGATATAGTAGGTAGGCAAAATAATAATAAACAAGCTAGCTACAAATTGGAAAAAACATAAAAAAATCATGTGTAACGAAGAGAGTGCTTTTTTTGTGAGGGGAAAATCATTAAATGACTTCTCCCGCCCAGGGCCGGGCAGGAGGGAGTGTCAGACTCTTACTGACTAAAAACCCCCTGTTCCTTCTCCTGCTCTGTGCCGAGGTTGCGGTGCCTCATTGCGCTTACCTCGCAACCCCGGCTGAACATCAGCCCTTTAGGGCCCCGTCTGTGGTGGTCTAATGGTTCTTTGAGGCGCGCGCGGAACTCTACTTAAAAATAAATCACAATAAACTCACCTTAACAATCAATTAGGTTTAAAATAGTTCGTAGCCTTTTAGTTCTTTTTCTGTTACTTTATTTAATCCCGCTCCTCTAATCCCGACGCGCAACCTCCAAGTCTCGAACCTTCTTTCTAGATTTTTCAAGAAAAAGTTTGTCACTTTACAACTCTTTAGTGCAAGTTTTTTTTTAGAATGACTTGACTAATGGCTTCCCGCCATTTTCTAGCACGAAAGGAACTCAGATTGGAAAATGTTTTAACTACCGTATCTAATTGTTTTACTTTTCACTTCTTCATTTGAATTGAAAAATGAGATATTTTATATTTAAATATCATACATACAATATTTGGTACTTGGAAGAAATAAAATACAAAATTGTGTGTAACG